ATATAATCCCCTACTTTCATCATACTATAGGAATAAACACGTTTTTACCTAAAAATCTGAACTGTAGAAAGTATTCTTTGTACGCGTAGTTCGTTATGACCATAGATTTCATTTTTTAAAACCTAAATATTGTTAGGAGTTCGCTTTAGCCGGAAGAAAAACAGAAGAAAAGTATGGCGATGGCTCAAAAAAATATCCCTGAAAGATTTTTTTTATTTTTGGATTCAGGGGACCATGAAACGTCGAGAAATGCAAAAAGGTTTGGTTTTTTTTTTCTCTGTACGTATGAGTGTTTGTATGTGTGGGGTGCACGATTTTCTTCACTCACTTTGGAGCTTAATAACTCCTGTACTTTTTGTCAAAAATTTCTGAAAATTTGCATGGAGGTTTGTGTATTAGGGGCATTAATACTATTAAATTTTGGTGGTTAACGGTCGAAGGAGTGGTAAGCTAGAGGAGTCACTTTTATCTCGAGTGGGATTGAACTTAATTAAGATCTACAATGAAAATCATCACTACTTTCAAATTAATCTTTTTTCCATTTTATAATAATTAATAATATAAAAATATTTAAAAAAAAAAATCTAATAGATGTCTCCACACGTAATTTTTACTTTTTTTTTTAACCGGGAAAGTTACGCAGCTCGATTTCTAAAATAAATATATTATTATTATTATTATTTTAATCGGATTGCGCTTTTGTTTGAGAATGAAAAAATTGGAAAATTATAAGAAAAAATTATATAAATTTATAAGAAAATAAATAAATGTCATTTATTATATTTTTTTATCGAAAAAATAAAAGTTTTATTCACATTTTTTTTCCACTTCCAAGCCAATTCAAAAGTCAATTATTAACGTCTTGAATAGAAAATGACTGTTTTGAATAAGGAGAAAAAATATATATATATATATATTTATTTATTATTAAATTTTTATGTAAAAGTGGAATTACCATTTTGTATTCTTCACATTACCTATTTCTTATTCGAGAAAATTACTTTTCCAATTTCATTTTTACAATTACACTTACGGCATATTCTCTAGAAACTATTCACGAATATTTTAAAATTATCCTAACAGAAATTAATTATAATTCTATACAAATTTCGATATATATATATTTCTTGTATTTTTAATGATTCAGATAAATGGCGACATCGCAAATTACAACTTTATGATTGATTTATGATAGAAAATAGTCACCAAAAATAGATGTTTGCTGAATATCTACACCGAACAAATGTCAATAATGACTGTTTCTATCAGAAAATGGCTAGGGAAATCTCATCCGAAACTGAACCATAACGGTCAATTCTTACTAAACATAGAAAAAAAAAGAAAACAAAGATGTTGTTCTCTTCTGGAATTGAATCGCTATATTAAGCTCTGTTCTTTATATTCTGTATTTTGTTCGAATGATATGCTATATATAACTATTCTCCTTTGTTTTGTACGGTACTTTTACATCTTTCTCCATACTTTCATATCGTTTTTCACTCTTATATATATATATATATATATATACATATACATAATATGCAGCAGTATAACATTTATTTGTTTACAAAGGTAAAGGGGTTCGAATTCCCCCTCGATTACAGGTTTTACAGGCCATTTTTTATATGTTCCTTTCTGTGGTCGTCCTTCAGAGGTTTAAAGATCGTCCTATATATATATACATACACATAATATCTAAGAGTTTATTCGTAGAGTTAGTGGCTACTTCTAGTAATACAGGTGTTTACACTTTATAATTTAGACCCATATCTATTGTAGTTACACTATAGATTGAAGAAATTTATGACAAATTTAAGAAAAAAACTAAAGAATTTAAGCACTTAAAACGCTTCAAGTGTAACTTCAAGTGTAAACTTAAACAATACCCTATTTGCTCAGAGACTTTCTCTCTTCCTTCTTATCTCCTTTTTTCATATTATTATAATATTAGGGAGTAAGTAGATCCTTGAGTAAACTCTACCTTTAATATTACAATTAAATTTATTTATTATTTAATAAATATTTAACAAGAAATTAATTATTTTATCAAAAATTCATATTTTGTTACTACTTTCTAAATGCTTTTTCTCTGCAAAAAAAGTCGCAATAAACTTTATAATTATGCAGGAATAAGGTAAGATATTTAATAAAATAAATGAATTTTCTCTGTAAAATTTACTTAAATTCGTTTACAGAACAATTTTAAAATTTAATTAATTTTTAATTATGAAAAATGAATAATTTAATAGTTTTTTTTGTAAGGTATAAGTTGATAAACATTCAGATTTGGGCGTAGTCTACATCTTTTATCATGTCAGATCCGACTGATAGATTGATTTTTAAGCAAGATATATGTTTAGATAATAGCTATAACGAGTATCTTTACAGTTTTCTGATTATACCAAGTAAAAAATTTCATTTTTGAAAATTATTTTCGAGACCAAACGATCGTTACAACGGGGTTTTGACGTGATTTATATAGATAAAACGGTTGGAAACGTTGTTGCTGGACTTTTCGGCCCATAATAACTGTTACCATTACCTTTATAAGTCTTCAGATTGTTTCGGGAGATATTAAGGGCTTGGGGCTATATCTCCCGAACCAACAGTCCGATTTTCTTGAAAATTTCTAGAAACGTTCCTCCGTAATACCCAAACCTCTCTACCAAATTTCATAAATTTTCGACAAAAGGAACAGGAGTTATTAAGCTTCAAACTGGGCGAACAAAATCGTGCCCGCCACACACACATACAGACACAAGTATCTATACATACAGTAAAAAAAATATCCCTAATTTTTTGCATTTATCGACGTTTTAATTTCTTCCGAATCCAAAACATGTAAAAAAATCTTCGGGGTGGAGTGATATTAATTATATAAAAGAGGGGAACTTCTATCGTATACAATAGTAAAAGTAGTTTTATCCGTTGATGTTTACAGTCAGATTTAATATCAATATTAATATATAATAATTACAATTGTTTAGTATTATTATCTTAAAGAAAATTAGGGAAATATTCCGTATGTTAAGAAATTTTATAACATTTCATTAATATCATACGAGTTAAAGCAAGAGAGTAATGCCAAGAATCCGTGAGAGAAAAGCATTATGTTGAAGGTATTTTGAAGATATTTTTTTCGTTATTTGAAGGAGTCGGATTAAACTTAAACACCGATAAAACAATAAAAATGTGTATAAGATATGATTATTTAAGGAGTTAATCTCTTGTAATTATACTAATGAAATCGATCTAGTTATGTAACTAACATCAATATTCCGGTTGATTATAGATGATCAAAATCCATTTATAATAAACGATTCCATTATTCAAGACAGTGCACTACGTGGTCAGGTTGTAGTAATTTGTGTAACGATCCAATATTATAGAATAAATTTATGCACAGAATGTTACTAAAGGCATAATTTTACGACTGGAACATTATCGTGTCATTAGAAATAGCCTATTTAGCGATAAAGGTTTTGGTATGGAAAATGAGTTTAGTATTTTAAATAATTTACTAGAAATTTTCTTATTTATTTATTTCTATTATAAATGATAAATAATACACAAAAAAAATTACCTTTTCGGCCGTAATTTTGCTTACTTTCTTATGCAGTTAACTCTCTCACACACACACACGCCCTACAATTCCCGTAATGTTAACGCTGGAAAGACTATGTAATACTCGCATCAATCTTGTAAAAAATTACGAAAGTAAATTTATAATACTTCATATTTTATAAGGAGAAGAAAGTAATCTGTAAACGTTTACAGCAGAAAAATATGAAAGTAAAGTACAATCCCTTTATCAGTATTCAACACGACACTCATCCTTATTTAAATTGCTGACGAATAGATTTCCATAAATAATAATTTTAACTAGATTTAAAATATATATATATATATATATTATTTTTAGACAATAAATAAATGAAATCTTTTATTTATTTATAAGTAATTATAATAAACAAATTTTCTGTATATTTGATTTATTCATTCAAGCATCTGTGAAGGGGTTTAATACGGAAACAAAGGTTAAAAAAATCGAATTAAATGTTTATTTTTTAACTTAAAAAGTGTTCTTTTATGTGTTAATACAGTAAAACCTGCTTAAACCGGTTCCACTTTGGCAGGTTTCTCTTTAGAAAGGTATTTTTAAACATAAAAAAACTGTTCCTTTTCGAATTTTTCTAGTTTAGGCAAGTTTCCGTTTTATCCAGGTTCCGTTTTAAACAGGTTTTCCGTTTTAGACAGGTTTTACTACAGTATATAAATTTTAATTTTAGTAAACATTTTAAGCGGATAAATAGGATTTTTCTTTGAATTTTTTGAGTTATTCTGAGAATATTCATCATATAAAAGTCGTAAAACCATCTGTGAGCTCGCGTGTAGACGTATGTAAAAAAAAGGACACTCGCGACACAAGACATAAAAAGAAGAAGAAAAAGAAGAAGGAAAAAAAGTGGATTTCTTTAAGTGAAGCATATTCATATTTATGGTTCCTTTATCCCTGTTTGGATCCGGATGAGAGTGTCTTCTACAGTGTAGCAGCGTAATTGTTGTTAAGAATTGCCATCCTGTAAAGTATCCTGTCCTACAGATCAATAAGTATTTGAAGGGAAGCCAAACTCGCGTGCTTTTGCCAAATAATTTAGAGACTAATCCAGCCATGAATGAAACCTTATAATTATAGAAAATGGCGCATATCACTTTTTTTTTCTGTCACTTAAAGAATTAGAAGAAGGCTTTTGAAGAAAAAGTTTGACTGTAAATGCTATTGTGAATAGGGGTTAAGCAGCAAATAAAAGAGATCCCGAATGATGTTATCATAGGTAAACGTTTGGATTTCTGTGGATAAATGGCGTATCGGATCTTTTCAACTGTACAAAAATGCACGAAATCTGTGGGGAATCGGCGTTTCATCACGCTGTCGGAAATCATTAGCGACGCAAACCGATAGTTTTGTCTGCTAAAGCATGTACACCTGTTACCTTATACCCTCCGACCCTCCGACTGACGATTGGTACGGTCCTCCTAGGCTTGATCGATCGTAAATGCCGAGCAGTGCAAGAGAATCAGCAGCCATGTCGTGATGAAGATGGGAAACATCTCCAGTCAGACAGAGAAAAGAGGTAAAAGGACCGCATCTCCAAAGTTTCGGGTGGGTAGAGACGGCAAGAAGCTACAGGAAATCGCTAGAGGACCGGGCGAATCGGCATCGAGTCCCGAAAGTTCCGTATCCGGTTCCGTTTACGTGGACACAGCAAGCCGCTTGCCAAGTCCCGAAGAGACATCGGCCGACGACGCTTCGACGTTAAAAGATACGTCTCCAGGTAGTACCAGCGACGTGACAGTGTTGTGCGAGTCCACGCAATCTTGCCCTGGAAGTCCGGATTCTCAGAGGCCATTGCCGCGAAGGAAGAGCGAACCCCTATCTAAATATTCGGCATCTACAATATCTGTACCGACTTTTACGCTGACTCAACATAAAAAAGTCATCCTCCCTCCTAATCCCTTCGTCACTCCAGGCAAATGGACTCTTGACGATCCCCTTAGACCCTCTTCTCTTTACGTTCACACCGATGCTTCGAGGACTTTTGGGCACAGAAGATATTCTTCGTACGATGCACCTCTAAACAGTGGTCGATCCGCTATGGGCAATCTATACAGACCGACTTTTGTACCGGAGAAATTGGATTACGGACTGAGGCAGAAGTTTGAAGGTGAGTGCCACTTCGATCGTCCTTAATAGCAATTCGGTGTCGGACCGAGAAAAAAGTAACCAAACAATAAAAAAATAATAATAATAAAAGACACACATAAATTCGAAAGAGAAATGCTTAATAAAACATTCACAACACGGACTGGACCATAAAAAAACAAAAAAAAATTGGTTTAGGCCCCCTACACTAAGTGCCAAAACCTGTAACTCCAAAAAGAGGAATAAAAAAGAAAACAAGAAACACAGTAACTTACCATTGTTTTAAACGGGGGAATGGCTACCGAAATTGAAATTTTATTGATTTTTATATCGTATTTTATGTTATTTATTGATGAAATTTTTACCTATTTACAGGTCACGTATTGGTAAATTGGTTATGTATTTCATGCACGGAACAACCTCGACATTTGCTGACACAGCAGGATCTAAGGACGTTGGTTGCTCAGTTCTGTACGTGTCTTCTAGCTGCTGGAGTTATGAGGCAGATAGAAGACGAGTCAATGCCCCTGGATAATGTCTTCCGAGTAAGTTTGGTTACGTACAACAGAAGGAAACGTTATATATACATATAAAATCTTTAAAAAATTCCCTTTCGGAAGTTTTAAAATTCAATATATGAGGAATGTATACATGGCCGCGAATTGGGACACAGGGAATTCTCGGCTCGTGCTTACTTTTTTTTTATACTTTTTACTATAAAATTTATTGTAAAAAAATACGATTTTTATTTAATTTCATTGTCGATATTTACTTTAAAAGTTGTTTTATCGCGAAGATATTGACCTGGAAGGGACCCAAAAAAACTTCATTTTATACTTAAATCCTTCACGCGATCGTAGAAAAACGCTTCTTATAAATAAATAACGTGTGTTTAAATAATAAAACGGCTATTTAATAATAATAATAAAGTTATATTTCGATGATGTTGATCAAAAATAAAAAAAATAACTTTTATTTTATGACAAATAAGTACACTATTTTATACGGAATTATATTAAACAATTCATATTTTATGTATAAATAATTATTTATTTAATAATATAATTCGATTTTTTACTTTAAAAAAGTTATATTTTTGCGATATTGACCTGGATAGGAACCAAAAGTTTAAAGAAAACAACAGAGAACAGATGTTCTTCACAATAAATCGAACAGCAAAAAAAAAAAAAATCCCTTACTCTTAAGGCTAGATTTAGACTTGTTGTGATCCTAAGACATAATGTATAGTGGTCCTTCATCTCTACTAAATAACAATAAGTTTTAAAATACTAGGGCCTAAGCTGTAACTTCGTTAAGACTCGGCCCTTTCTAAGGTATAGTATTCCAACATGCGATCCACCATAAACTGTATTTTCATAACACGTGGTTCTCTTTAAATGTAATCTCGTAATACGAGGCCCTTCATAAGTTGTAATTTCATAACACGTGGCCCTCCTTAAGTGTAATCTCGTAATACGAGGCCTTCCTTAGCTATAACTTCGTAACACTAGGCCCTAGACTGTAGCTTGTTTAGCTTAGGAGTAGGTTAGCTTCAGCTCTGATTATTCAGCAAAAATTAACAAAGAAATTCTAGAAAAAATATTCTAGAATCACATCCTAGTATTAAATTTAAAATAAATCCCATAATTATTGGAGAAATTTCTGTTTTAATCTAAACAATTCCCCCCATTAAGATACAATACCTTCATTAGTATAAACACTTTAATTAATTTCATATTCAAAATTTATGTACTTCCACTACGTATGTAAATATATATATATAATTTACATACGAATAAATATAGTAATTATCGTATTGTAAGATTTAAATATATATATAAAATGAAATATTTAATGTTAAAATTAAATTCAAGTGGAGGAATTTTATACTGATTAAATTTATTACAAATAACATTCGGTAATTTTAATTTCCGAAAAAATCAGGCGAATAGACAAACGGACGAACGAACGAACGGACTGGAGTAAGAAGAGAAAGAGAGAGAGAGAGTGAAGCTTCGGGAATTTCAGCTCTTCTATCGAGTTTAATTTTTTAAAAATCTGTACAAATAGACAAACAGACGGACGAATTATTAAAAAATTCAAATCAATATTTTAAATATCTGCTTAGATTTTAGCTAAGAAAAGAGAATTTAAGCGCGGTTTTTCTTAAATGAAAAACCACTCTAGAAATTCGTCATCCGGTAAATTCTATCACTCGAATAATTATAAAGAAGTAATTTTCTGCACGACTCGAGCTTTTATTACAAAAATTCGTAATAAAAATCCTCAAATCTAAAGATTCCAGACAGATTTTTCAATTAATATTACTCGTGCATAAATAATTTTAAGTATTTACGGATAGTAAAATAATTGTCGTATTTATTTTATTATTTATTTCTTTCAAATTTTAAGTTGTAAATAAATTAAGAACGTAGAGAGAAATCTTTAATTAAACGAAATGATTCATAGAAAGAAATTCGTTTCGACTATTTATTCGGTGGCAGGAAATGATTTTTATGCGAAACATTTGTCATATTCCCATTAGTTTATATGGCAGAGATTTTAATCTAAAACATGGAATATATATATATTTTTTCCTTTTATTATATATTTTTAAAGATAAATCTCGATAATTTTCACTTAAGTTAGAGAGTCCACTTCAATTCTAAGCTGTCATTGATTATAATTATATCTTTATCGATTATCGCAACCACATTGAAGTGTCTTTCAACGGGAGTTGTGGAAAGCAATCTCGCAATGTGCCACTCGAAGCCACTTTTCTTGGATTTTTTTTTCATTTGATCTTTCCTAAATTATTTTCTCGTAAAAAAGTACATATTTTAAAACATTTTCACAAATAATTTATGGCATTTTTAATGGTTTCTTCTATCCAAAAAAAATATTTAAAAAAAATTCGATTTGTTCCTCGCATGGTTTCACTTCTGGAGCATGGTACTTCTTGTTAAGTTTACGCTCTTCATCCCGGATAATTCTAAATCTATACGTTAATCCTTATTAATCTTATAATGGAAGGGGTTTAGGATTAGGTTTATAGGGTTTAATCTTAAGATTAAAGCGTAGTTTTTTTTTTTTTTTTTTTTTTTTTTTTTTTTTTTTTTCTGTAAGCATTGATTTTGTAAGCAGCTAGGTTATTACTTTTCTGGATTCTTTAGCTGGAATGNTTTTTTTTTTTTTTTTTTTTTTTTTTTTTTTTTTTTTTTTTTTTTTTTTTTTTTTTTTTTTTTTTTTTTTTTTTTTTTTTTTTTTTTTTTTTTTTTTTTTTTTTTTTTTTTTTTTTTTTTTTTTTTTTTTTTTTTTTTTTTTTTTTTTTTTTTTTTTACTGTAAGCATTGATTTTGTAAGCAGCTAGGTTATTACTTTTCTGGATTCTTTAGCTGGAATGTCTCTTTCAGGAATTGTCGAATTCATATAAGACATTTCTATTCTCCTCTCTTCTTGGTTGCTTTCTTTTTTCTAGATATTTATTTAGTTTTTGTTATGATCTCGCCTTTGAATTCTCATCTCTAACATGCTCTTGCCATATTTTTTTTTTCCTCATCGATTTTCTATGTTTTGTATGATTTGCCCGTTGTTTTTATCTTCTCTAAACAGAAGTTTCAATTCTAATTTTTTTTAATTAATTTTTTTTTATAAAACAATTCGGTGCACTTTTTTGATATTTTTATTGCATACGTGTCAATAGTTTTTAAATCTTTGTTAACGACTTTTACCCTTTTTTTCTAAAAATTAAAAATTCTTGCTTCTGGTTGGAAAGAAAGGAATTTATTTGAGTTTTTAAACAAATTTTAAGTGTTTTTTTTAAATTGAAATCCTTAATTAGTTTCTTAATTTTAACGTTATTTGCACTCGTTCTGTTTATTGTAATTAGCGACGTCGCATTATTATAGAGATACAATTTTCGGATTGCAGATCTACACATTCCCACTGCTGTCCCGTCCATCTGTCAGGCCGTTAATCGATTTCGAGAACAATTAGATAGATGAAAATCGAGATCAGATATAGAAAAGTTTAGGACCTCATGCTCCTAATCGTTTCATATTCCCTCATCTAATCTCCATTTTCATTTATCTAATATCGATTTCTCTATCTGGTCCCGATTTTCATCTATCAAATCTCCATTTCCATCCATTTAATCTCCATTTCCATCCATCTAATCTCCATTTCCATATCTGGTCTCGATTTCCATCCATCTAATCTCCATTTTCATCCATCCAATCTCCATTTCTATATCTGGTCTCGATTTTCACCCATTAAATCTCGATTTTTACCCATAAAATCTTCATTTCTATCCATCTAATCTCCATTTCCATATCTGGTCTCCATTTCCATATCTGGTCCCGATTTTCACCTATCAAATCTTCATTTCCATCCATCTAATCTCCATTTCCATCCATCTAATCTCCATTTCTATATCTGGTCTCGATTTTCACCCATTAAATCTCGATTTTTACCCATAAAATCTTCATTTCCATATCTGGTCCCGATTTTCACCTATCAAATCTCCATTTCCATATCTGGTCTCGATTTCCATCCATCTAATCTCGAATTCCATATCCGGTCTCGAACTTATGGACCGGAAGTCAGGTGATTTCTTAAAAATTAAAATATGATTAGAAATTGAAAGCCGGCATTGAGACAACGTCACAATAGTATACATTCGATATATTTTTTTTAATTTTACTCTTGTTTTGGTGGGTTTTCTAATGGCTTAGCGTTATGAAAATATCACAAAAATATTCTTTCAGCAATACATTTTTTTAAAAGAAACATTTAAGTTTATTCCGTAAAAATCCCAACTCTATAATCTAGTAGGAGTTGTGTGTAACCGGCGATTGATTTCTTGTAAAAATTCACCTCACCCTCTTCTTCTCTATTTCGTTTCCCGCTCCCAAATCGGTCCTTTTTTATGGTTATTTTTTTATTTTCCGCTTCTCAAATCCTACTTAATAATTCCTCCCACTTCTTCAATATTTAATAGATATCCGCTCTCCCAGTAAATGGTTGAATAGTCTTGGCTTCAATAGACAATTGTTAGTCTACGGTTTAAGCTAAGGGGAAAAATAAAAATAAAATTTTGCAATAAAAACATCCTCTTACTGTTGAAAATAAAAGCGTATTAAGTATCAGAATAATCAACTTTTCCCCAATTTTAATCAGTAGAAAATCCCGTTTATCATATTTACAGGAGACGAAGCATTGTCTTCTTTTGTGTGTAATAAATAAATAATAATATATCTAAGCTTTGTTGCATTGTTTATAGTTCGAGATTGAGTTTTTTCTTTATATTATTTGGCAATGTTATGTATAATTTAAAGTCAAACCTTCTGTTATAATATTCCTCTTGAATAGATGTACTTTTTTATTTAAAAAAGGGGGGTTCTTTACCTATGTATGCTCTAAAAATGCAATATATTTAGTGTTCGAGTCAATTTTCATCACTTAATTAGTGAGAAATTCTATTTATGTTACTGTTAGAGTTCTTATTCAATGTTATAATTATCTAGAACAGGCGATGTTTTGATACAGCATTAGAAGTCTGTAGCTTAATCTTGAAGTTTCTGCAATAACAAGCAGACTGACTTGTAAGTAACAACAAAAATCTATATCTCATAGCGTTACTGTGCAATATTATGTTATCCAGAAAAGCCTAATTTTAGTTACGTTACATAATTTAAGCTTAAATTTCTTCAAATAATATTAATACTTACTCGTTAGTACGTAACTAATAATATAATTTGGAGTTAATATACAAACCAGCATCAACTTCCAATGTAAATTATACTTAATTAACTTTCTGGAATCGAATGGTTTTATCTTAATCGCAGTTTTCTATCAATTTATCTTTGTATTTTCATATTTTTTTATCGCATTTATTTCTTAAATATCTTACTTTAATCATCATTAAAATGTCTTTATCCTTCCTGCTAACTTTGAATCAATTTTCTAGAATCAATATCCTAGAATTCTATACGTGATATAGGCCTATATTTTTATCTGCTTCTCCTTTAAGTATAAAACATTTTTATAAAGACTTTTTTTTATTTGGAGAGGGTTGTCTACACAATACAAAATCTCGAGAGGTCTTGATAAAAAGTTTCGTTTTGCTTATACCCTAAAGTGATTAGAGTAACTTTAACCATTTTCGATCAAGAAAAATTCTATCAAACTGAGTTTCTATTGCTCCTTATACTTTAATTCCATAGAGAAATGCATTATCTTTATTTAATTTTTTTATTATTATAAATAAAACAATAATAACGTTAAATATTTGGGCAAATAAACGTTAAAACAATGGGCAATTCGAAACTCTATTTAATGAATCTTTTTTTTTTTTTTTAAGAAAGAAAACATTAATGAAAAGTTTAGTAAAGTTAAAGAATATTTGTTAAATTTACTTCCATTTTATTAAATTCATTAAAATGTAAAGTTACGTTTAATTCTTAAACAAATATTATTCAACAGTTTAAAAGTTAAATACGAAAATGAACCCCTTAAAAGTTTCGTAATAATTAATCCATTTTCCGAAATCTTAAACGAGAAAGGAAGCAACTACTTCATTTTAATTGATATTTCCTTTTCAGAACAATTGTAATATATTCATCTTTGTTCAAACACGAATTTCGAAAGGTCATTTTACTCATTTTCATATAACTTTATTATTTCCACTTCAGCAAATATCATTTCAAATAATCTTTTGTAGAGATTGACACAATTGCTCTTCAGCATCACCTGTCTCTAATCATCCTCTTCGTCAATTAATTGATGGAAATATTTATTAAATATTATTATAATTATTTTTTTAAAAAATATGAAATTGAATTGATTTTAATTAAAAATTTTGCTAAGGGATATAATTTTTAGTTTTATTTTCTTGGTATAATTATCAGACAGATTTTACTTATTGCTGGTCGTTACCACCTTCGAGCAGTCAACAGTCGAGATCCTTATCCTCTCTAGCATGGACAGCCTCGGGAGATGTTGCTTCAAATTACCGTCATATGGATCTTGGTACGTGTGGATATTCACGTTTATATGTTAATTTTCATGTCTAAAAATTGATTTTTTGTGTGTGTATGCGTATGTGTATGGTTCTAATGATTTGGCTTGTTTCCAATCCAATGCAAAAATCTTTTAAATGTAGAAAATATAAGAAAATATTCTTCGATCCGGACGGAATTAATGGGGTTTTTTTNCACGTTCGACAAAGTATACAGATTGGCCAAAGGAATACTTTACATTATGGATACAGTTCTGTTATGACTTCAAGGATGCTTGGAAGAAGGAGATACAAAGAAGAAATAGAGATGAGTGAGTGTATTTAAGATAAAATATCTGATTATATTTTTTCCTTACACTTTTAATTTTACATAATTAAAGGTCAACCAGAACAAAGAAGAAGAGCACAAAGGATAAACACGGAACGGCCAAAGGAAAGAGTACACCTCAGGTTAGATAATTAAGATTTAAATAAATAATGAACACATGGAAACTATACAGAGAATACAGGTATATAATGGAATATTATATGTAAAATATAATGGAATTTTTAATAATTTAAGATAAATAATTGTTTTTAGAAGGAACAGGAAATAAATCTGTTTCATTTACGTGGGGAACAAGCGGCTAAACTTAACGAATACGAGGACAAAATATGCTACTTGGAAAGAGAGGTGGACAAGTATCAGACATTAGCAGGGATTGCCGAATTGGCGCGTAAAGCCAAACATGATTTAGATTCTACACCTACATCACCAATGGATATGGTCCCGATAGTAGTGAAGTCTGTTAACTCGACTCAAACCGATAGCTTACAGACGGCGTGTACAGAATGTCAGACTGTTTCCGTTAAAACTATAAGTGTAGAGATACAGACAGAGGCAGAGACGGCACCAAACACAGCACCGGATTTGGTCTCGCATCTGAAAGAAAGGACTCAGGTACCCGAAGGTACAACGGTACAAAATGGTACCAAAGAGTCACCACCGTTACCTTCGCCACCTTGTCTTCCAGTTCCAACGCCGCCCAATTTTCCGATCGGTGCAACACCTTCGCCACCTCCTCTTCCTCCTGCCACTACTAATGGCCATTCTCCTCCTCTTCCACCTCCTCCTCCGATGCCAGTCGGAGAAGAAATGCCACCGACATCGTCTCCTCTTCCACCTCCTCCTCCTCCACCTCCACCACCTTGCCCTGTTGTTTCGTCAGCAGTTTCTTCACCCCGTCTAGTTGGTAAGTAAAAAATTTATCTACAAAATACGGCCTCCATGTTCTTTATGGTCTAGCGAATTGTAGCAATCTAAAAATCCCTTTAGAGATGGGGAATATCACTAAATTATCTAATTTAAAATCATTTCTTTTATACTTATCTCGTAATTTAGAGCTTATATAAGAATAATTTAGTATTTTTAAGCATTTAATCTTATTTTTACTCCTTCGATTCGATGTGAGAAACCTCCTACTTAACGTAAATAATGCTAATTAAATTAGCATTTTTTTAAAAAGAATCTAACCTAAAATTCTGTTTAAAATTTAAATATAACAACCATATAACGTGTAATATTTAAAATTTATCTAAATTTACAGTTCGCAAGGAACCCATAAGTCCAAAAACTTCGATGAAACCATTATACTGGTCAAGGATTCAGCTTCCACCACACCCGACAGAGCAAGTATTCGATGTATTTTCTAATAAATTAACCTCGTAAAATTTCATATATTATTATTTTATATATGAAAAATATTCTTTTATTTAGGCCATCAGTTTGGGAGGGATTAGTAGAAAAACCAAACGTCAGTTGGGAAGAATTTGGAGAACTCTTTGGGAAACAGACGTCTGATAAAGGAAAAACTAGCCATAGAAAGAGGCAGAGAGGACACGGGAAAGAGGTTTTTTTGTATGCATATAAAATACCATACAACTTATCTCTGTATACTAAAATTGTTTTATTATTCAGGTTGTACGTCTACTGGATCAGAAACGATGGCAAAATTTAGATTTGCTGATATCCAGTTTACAAGTTCAAATAGCCGACATAGAAAATGGTAATTCGGAATAAATTTCAATTTTTTTATAAAGTATAAACATCTATTAATATTTAAAAATTATTTATATATATGCGGTCGAACCTCCGAACAACGGACAGTAAGGGGAGACATAAAAAATGACTTTGTTCGGAGGCAATTTCGCATTTCAAAAAGAAATGCTCCTGGGGAAAAAAAAGAAGAAAAAAACAAATGGCCGCCGATTAGAGGTGTCCGTTATCGGAGGTTAAACTGTATTTTTATTTGTAATTCTTTCTTATAATTTAAATAAAAACCGATTAATTTATTCTTGAATGAAAAGAAAAAGAAAATAGAGAGGTTGCGGCCGACGTTTTCAACGCGAAACGTGTACGTCGGACGTTCATCGGCGCCTTCCTGTAAGCCTAGAAGTTTAACAATGGCGTTTGAAACGTCAGTAGAATCATGCTCGACGTTCCAAACGCCATTGTTAAACTTCTAGGCTTACAGGAAGGCGGCACTGAACGTCCGACGTCCACGTTTTCGCGATGAAAACGTCGGCCGCAACCTCGCTAATGTCACGAAATACGAATACCTCGGAAATTGGCATTAAATCGAGTATGGCGTTAAGCTGAAGCATCTCGATCGATAATAGAGAGCTTGCGGGCGAAGTTTTCATCTGTAAAACGTGAACGTCGAACGTCGAAGCGGCGCTCGACGTTCGACGTTCGAAGTTCGACGTTCACGTTTTACAGATGAAAACTTCGGCCGCAATCTCGCTAATAATTATGTGTATTAACGAGATTTTGTGTTTGTCAAGATGAAAATCGCGTAATTTGGTGATGACAATGTCGTTTGCAACACAAAATCCTGCCCTAACCTATTTAATATTCATGACCAAGACCCGTTTACAAGTAGTCATTAGGTGGAGTTATTTCGTAAAACGCTATATCGAAGAGAATATTCGCTATATAGAATACTTAAATTATCTTATTTAAAATAATAATTTTAATTTAAATTAGTAAATACTGTTAAAACTACTTGCAAAAATTGCAGTTTAAAATTGACTTTAAAACGCGAATAACCCGCGTTATACGCAGGAAAATGTAGGAAATTATTATTATTATTATTTTAAAATGTATTACTTAAAAATATTTTTTAATATTCTTTTAACAGCTGTTTATAATATCGATACAGGAGCCTTTAATTTGCAATCTCTGCAAGCGTTATACGATATTGTAAGTTGAAATTACTTAATTAATATGCTTTAAAATTAATTAGTGTTTAATTTATAACGTGACGATAATAATAAAACCCGAATACCGACAAAACCTGAGTAAACCGGAATAACATTGTACTTAATATTGTAAAAACTGTTCGAAACGGAACCTGTATGCAATGGAAATCTCTTTAAACGGAAAAAATTCGGAGCGGATCGATTTTTCTACTCTTAAAGAAAAAAAACCTGTTCAAAACGGAAACCTGTCTAAACGGAGCGATTTTATATGCTTAAAACCCTGTTTAAAACAGAGAAATTTCGAAACAAAACGATTTTCTATGCTTTAAAAAACCTATTTAAAACGGAAACCTGCCAAACATTCGGTATCATAAAGTTCCATCTTACACAGGTTTTATACTGGGCAGGTTTCCGTTTTAAACAGTTTTATTTTAAATATAGAAAATCGCTCCGTTAAGTAAAATTGTTCCCTTTAGGCAAGTTTTCATTTTAGGCAAATTTTTACTGTATTTTTAAATAATTTACGAATTTCTTTCGAGAAACTTTTATACGGGGGTGGCCCAAAAGTCATTTAACCGCCATACGGATTAAATTACTTACTGTACTTCAGTCATGTTTCCACCAATTACGTCGGTTAAAAAGAACAATGTTCTAACAATTAACGTTAAAGGTAGAACGAAGTACGGTCAACTGATTTTTGGACCACCCTGTATAAATAATGAAGGAATAAATATGAGTTTCGAACGATGGCTTTTATTCTTTCTTCACAAAAGGGAATTTGCTATGTCGACGAAATTAAGTAATGCTTTTCTGAAAGCCTTAACAATCTTCATGAATATTAATAGAAGCAATTCTGTAATTTGACAAGTTATCAGAAGGAAAAGAACACGAAATTTAACTTCTTGTCAAAAGTTTCCAAACATTTTTCATGCTTTTGTGTTTTTAAAATTCTAGAAAACGGAAACAAATATTTTATTTTTCATGCTTCAAGCTACGATTAAGCACTGAAAAACAAAAAAAAAAAAACAGTTTTAGTACAAGGATGAACGATCGTTTCCTTTAAAAATTTCAAATTTAACGACTTTTATTAGTTAAATTACTGAAATTTATACATCTCAGAGCATTCCTACAACTGGAAACATTCTAGAAATGATTCTGGAAGGCTCAAGATTCAAGAAAAAAACGTTAGTTTTGATGCTTCAAGTTACGATTAAGCAGTAAATTAAGCTTAATGCAGTAGTTATTGAAGGAGAAATAACGATAACAATTCTTTAAATAAAGATTTTAAAGAATATATTTTCTAAATACAGTAAAACCTGTCCAAAACGGAACCTGAATAAAACAGAAACATGTCTAAACGGAAAACGGAGCGATTTTCTATGCTAAAAAAAAAAACCTGGTTAAAACGGAAATCTGCCAAACCAGAAAGAATATTCGGTACCGTGAGATTCCGGCACACACAGGTTTTATTGTATACAGTTAAACCTATTCAAAACTGAACCTAAATAAACAAAAAAAACCTTCCTAAACGGGAAAACTCTTCGGAAGGGAGCGATTTTCTATGTTAAAATATACAGTTAAACCTGTCCAAAACGGAACCCGAATAGACAAGAAACCTTCCTAAACGGAAAGAATTCTTCGGAAGGGGACAATTTTTTTATATTAAAAAAGAAACCTGTTTAAAACGGAAACCTGCTAAACCGGAAAAAAGTGTTTCGTAATGTAATACAATATTCCGGTTTATACGGGTGTTATTGTATATATATATTGGGTAAATAAGGAATGGATAAGATTTTATCCAAAGGAAAAATTTTATCAGTAGAATATTTATCTAAAGTATAAATTTCCAATATGGCTTTGTAGAATGTGTCGATAGGAAGGAAAGGAATTTGTGATTTAGTTACATGGACTTATGTTCTCATCATGATCTCAAATGTAGTATTTTCTCGAGGGATTTCATGCCTGTCTGTTTACATTAACAATCATCCGATGCAGTTTGTTTCTCAGTAATTTAATGACAATTCATTGTTGACTCCATTTCATTACCGTTGTCAAATATTCCTTTTATTTATTTATATTAATTAAATCGATATTAATATATATATAATAATTTTATAAAAGAATGTAAAATATGAAAATGATTAAGTATAAAATGTAAATATTTTTATGTAAATATTGATAAAATTACGCTTCTTATAATAAAATTTAATAAATAATTATACTTGGAGATATAATTTTCTGTATAATTATTAGCAAAATTAAGGTTTTATTTAAGAAATTTAGTAAAATTTTCATTAGAAAACCTCTTTCTTAAAATAAAATTAATGAATAAACAATGGCTACCTCTAAACTACGGCCATTGATGGGAATTTAAAATTGCTATAGTTTAATGTTTATCACGAAGTGACAAGAAGAGGAATGGGGTGATCAGGTTACGTGGTAGGTTAAATTTTATGCAAGATCCTAGAGAATGTGTAGGAAAAATTTGGTGCAGATAAGTCAAAGGGTTTATAAGTGTATCGAGAACAAACAAACAAATATTCGATTCGATATTTAATATATAGACCTAATGATTTACTGTCTTAACTAAAACTATTTTTTTTTTTATTATTATTATAACCGAAAGCACAATTTCTATTAGAGATTTTTGTGGTAATTTTAAAATAAACTTTATTTATTTTCGTTCCTATCGTAAATTGAATACTTTGGCCGAACTATTAAGCTTATAGCAGCCATTTTGTCACAGCCATAAACAAACTATAAACATTTTTACGACGTGATTTATTGATTTTCATCTCGGGCATTTGTTTGATTATCTCAGGAATGACATAAATTTATTCGAATTATTTGTTGGTTTTATTAAATTAATGCGATCGTTATCGAGTTCCTAATCATTTAATCAAGCAACAATTAATTTTATCGATGATTTTTTTTTAAAAAAATGGACGGTTCTGTACAATTTTTAGCGCTAGAAAACGTAAATTTATAACAGAATTTAATTCGTAATTGATAGAAAATTGAATTTAATAATGCAGGAAAGGAAAAACTTTAGTATATAATTGTCTTGTTATTGTAGAAGGAGTAATGGAATTTATGTTAGAGAGGAGGACGAAAATTAACAGTACATTGAACTGACATTTAACAAAAATTCTATTGTAGCTCCTCTATTTAATTCTATTTGTATGGTTTTTTAAGTAAAATAAATTATTTTACATTTGATTTTCTCCCCTTTCTGTATAAGTTACAAAATCAATACATTTCTTGGAGAAAAGACAGAATTCCTCAACAGATAGTTCGCGATCTCCTTTATCTTCTATAACGCTACGTGAATCGTCAGAGAAAACGATATAGGTTGAGAAGCGCCGTTTAAACGCTTCGAAATACAAGACGTGTGTAAAATTAATAACTTTAAAAATTATTATAACGATCGATTATCGTGTGTTATGTATCAAGTGACGTTTTACGATTACATAGGACAAGTGGAGAGCAAATTAAACAACTTCAGGATGACATGCGAGGTGAATATCATTAAGACAATCATCGATTTTGACGGAATTTTCTATCCTCAAACAAGAGGACAATATGGAATTAATGAAAAATTTTCTACAAGAAAATAAAAAATAAATAAATAAATAAAAAACATTCATATTTATAGAAAATTTAATAAATTTTTATTATTTTTTCTTTAGTTTTATAATAGGGGATGCTCATAAATTACGTAACACACACGTGGGTGGGTGTTGGTATGCTGGTATGATGCGTTATAAGGGGATGGGGTGTTTACAAAAGTGTTACGTAATGCTAGTGTTGTATTGGGGGATGTAACGTTTACGTCACTGCTTCGTACGTTACGCGTGTAATTAATAAAAATAGTGTGACGTTCGGTACCACGTGTTGTTTGTTCAATTAAAGGATTGCAGGAGGATATGCGTTACGTAATTTCAGGTGATTAACGTTACATAATTTATGGACGATTCCGTAAATAAAATTTAAAATANAGAATATTCATCATATAAAAGTCGTAAAACCATCTGTGAGCTCGCGTGTAGACGTATGTAAAAAAAAGGACACTCGCGACACAAGACATAAAAAGAAGAAGAAAAAGAAGAAGGAAAAAAAGTGGATTTCTTTAAGTGAAGCATATTCATATTTATGGTTCCTTTATCCCTGTTTGGATCCGGATGAGAGTGTCTTCTACAGTGTAGCAGCGTAATTGTTGTTAAGAATTGCCATCCTGTAAAGTATCCTGTCCTACAGATCAATAAGTATTTGAAGGGAAACCAAACTCGCGTGCTTTTGCCAAATAATTTAGAGACTAATCCAGCCATGAATGAAACCTTATAATTATAGAAAATGGCGCATATCACTTTTTTTTTCTGTCACTTAAAGAATTAGAAGAAGGCTTTTGAAGAAAAAGTTTGACTGTAAATGCTATTGTGAATAGGGGTTAAGCAGCAAATAAAAGAGATCCCGAATGATGTTATCATAGGTAAACGTTTGGATTTCTGTGGATAAATGGCGTATCGGATCTTTTCAACTGTACAAAAATGCACGAAATCTGTGGGGAATCGGCGTTTCATCACGCTGTCGGAAATCATTAGCGACGCAAACCGATAGTTTTGTCTGCTAAAGCATGTACACCTGTTACCTTATACCCTCCGACCCTCCGACTGACGATTGGTACGGTCCTCCTAGGCTTGATCGATCGTAAATGCCGAGCAGTGCAAGAGAATCAGCAGCCATGTCGTGATGAAGATGGGAAACATCTCCAGTCAGACAGAGAAAAGAGGTAAAAGGACCGCATCTCCAAAGTTTCGGGTGGGTAGAGACGGCAAGAAGCTACAGGAAATCGCTAGAGGACCGGGCGAATCGGCATCGAGTCCCGAAAGTTCCGTATCCGGTTCCGTTTACGTGGACACAGCAAGCCGCTTGCCAAGTCCCGAAGAGACATCGGCCGACGACGCTTCGACGTTAAAAGATACGTCTCCAGGTAGTACCAGCGACGTGACAGTGTTGTGCGAGTCCACGCAATCTTGCCCTGGAAGTCCGGATTCTCAGAGGCCATTGCCGCGAAGGAAGAGCGAACCCCTATCTAAATATTCGGCATCTACAATATCTGTACCGACTTTTACGCTGACTCAACATAAAAAAGTCATCCTCCCTCCTAATCCCTTCGTCACTCCAGGCAAATGGACTCTTGACGATCCCCTTAGACCCTCTTCTCTTTACGTTCACACCGATGCTTCGAGGACTTTTGGGCACAGAAGATATTCTTCGTACGATGCACCTCTAAACAGTGGTCGATCCGCTATGGGCAATCTATACAGACCGACTTTTGTACCGGAGAAATTGGATTACGGACTGAGGCAGAAGTTTGAAGGTGAGTGCCACTTCGATCGTCCTTAATAGCAATTCGGTGTCGGACCGAGAAAAAAGTAACCAAACAATAAAAAAATAATAATAATAAAAGACACACATAAATTCGAAAGAGAAATGCTTAATAAAACATTCACAACACGGACTGGACCATAAAAAAACAAAAAAAAAAATTGGTTTAGGCCCCCTACACTAAGTGCCAAAACCTGTAACTCCAAAAAGAGGAATAAAAAAGAAAACAAGAAACACAGTAACTTACCATTGTTTTAAACGGGGGAATGGCTACCGAAATTGAAATTTTATTGATTTTTATATCGTATTTTATGTTATTTATTGATGAAATTTTTACCTATTTACAGGTCACGTATTGGTAAATTGGTTATGTATTTCATGCACGGAACAACCTCGACATTTGCTGACACAGCAGGATCTAAGGACGTTGGTTGCTCAGTTCTGTACGTGTCTTCTAGCTGCTGGAGTTATGAGGCAGATAGAAGACGAGTCAATGCCCCTGGATAATGTCTTCCGAGTAAGTTTGGTTACGTACAACAGAAGGAAACGTTATATATACATATAAAATCTTTAAAAAATTCCCTTTCGGAAGTTTTAAAATTCAATATATGAGGAATGTATACATGGCCGCGAATTGGGACACAGGGAATTCTCGGCTCGTGCTTACTTTTTTTTTATACTTTTTACTATAAAATTTATTGTAAAAAAATACGATTTTTATTTAATTTCATTGTCGATATTTACTTTAAAAGTTGTTTTATCGCGAAGATATTGACCTGGAAGGGACCCAAAAAAACTTCATTTTATACTTAAATCCTTCACGCGATCGTAGAAAAACGCTTCTTATAAATAAATAACGTGTGTTTAAATAATAAAACGGCTATTTAATAATAATAATAAAGTTATATTTCGATGATGTTGATCAAAAATAAAAAAAATAACTTTTATTTTATGACAAATAAGTACACTATTTTATACGGAATTATATTAAACAATTCATATTTTATGTATAAATAATTATTTATTTAATAATATAATTCGATTTTTTACTTTAAAAAAGTTATATTTTTGCGATATTGACCTGGATAGGAACCAAAAGTTTAAAGAAAACAACAGAGAACAGATGTTCTTCACAATAAATCGAACAGCAAAAAAAAAAAAAATCCCTTACTCTTAAGGCTAGATTTAGACTTGTTGTGATCCTAAGACATAATGTATAGTGGTCCTTCATCTCTACTAAATAACAATAAGTTTTAAAATACTAGGGCCTAAGCTGTAACTTCGTTAAGACTCGGCCCTTTCTAAGGTATAGTATTCCAACATGCGATCCACCATAAACTGTATTTTCATAACACGTGGTTCTCTTTAAATGTAATCTCGTAATACGAGGCCCTTCATAAGTTGTAATTTCATAACACGTGGCCCTCCTTAAGTGTAATCTCGTAATACGAGGCCTTCCTTAGCTATAACTTCGTAACACTAGGCCCTAGACTGTAGCTTGTTTAGCTTAGGAGTAGGTTAGCTTCAGCTCTGATTATTCAGCAAAAATTAACAAAGAAATTCTAGAAAAAATATTCTAGAATCACATCCTAGTATTAAATTTAAAATAAATCCCATAATTATTGGAGAAATTTCTGTTTTAATCTAAACAATTCCCCCCATTAAGATACAATACCTTCATTAGTATAAACACTTTAATTAATTTCATATTCAAAATTTATGTACTTCCACTACGTATGTAAATATATATATATAATTTACATACGAATAAATATAGTAATTATCGTATTGTAAGATTTAAATATATATATATAAAATGAAATATTTAATGTTAAAATTAAATTCAAGTGGAGGAATTTTATACTGATTAAATTTATTACAAATAACATTCGGTAATTTTAATTTCCGAAAAAATCAGGCGAATAGANTAATTAATTAAAAAATTTATTAATTTATATATTAATTAATTATATGGATCGTAGGATGCATACTTTAAAGACATTTTACTGTTGGCAATCACGTTCGACAAAGTATACAGATTGGCCAAAGGAATACTTTACATTATGGATACAGTTCTGTTATGACTTCAAGGATGCTTGGAAGAAGGAGATACAAAGAAGAAATAGAGATGAGTGAGTGTATTTAAGATAAAATATCTGATTATATTTTTTCCTTACACTTTTAATTTTACATAATTAAAGGTCAACCAGAACAAAGAAGAAGAGCACAAAGGATAAACACGGAACGGCCAAAGGAAAGAGTACACCTCAGGTTAGATAATTAAGATTTAAATAAATAATTCAAAAAAAATAAAAGAAATTTATATATTTTTTTTTGAATATCAAAAACACATTAGCTATCTGAAAAAATCTCAAAAATGCAATATATATATATATATTTAGGTGTATGTGTTATTGATATCTGAAAGCGTTTTAAACTTTGTAATCAGTGTGAGATAAATCTCATGTATTACAGTTCTTTTCTTGTATGTCATTTTATTTCCATTACAGAAATCAAAATACAAAAAAATGAAGACTGTTAAGGATTCGCCACCGACAGATCCCGTCAAACAAGACCAAATCAATTAAAAGAAGTATTTAAATTCCTTCTATATATATATATATATAATATATATATATATATATAAATATAATTTTATTGCACACATATCTTGTTTACAGTTGCTCAACACTTTTGAGAAAAGAAGGGAAAAAAAAGAAAAAAAATTGTTTACTTTTAAGAGGAAATTTTTACAAATTTTTTCATTTTTATTGTTAGTGTTTATATAATTTTTACATTTTATTATTGGATATAGTTATAAAAATATGTACTGTATGTTATATATACATATATATATATACATATATAAAAGAAAATAAGATAATAATAATAATAATAATAAGCTTAGGCGTTGTTTGTGCAATTGGACGACAATCACGTTCGAATGTTCGTTGTTCTTCTCTAAAATTCATGAATAATAAGATATACAAATTGTCTTTTTTTTTATTTATTTCCTGTTTTTTCTTTCTAAAAATTTAATTTATATACGAGAACTTCGAATGGTTTAATACTTTGTATCCTATGAAACGTGAAGGCCGCACAATTCTTTATTAATTAATTCTCTTTTGCGGATCTGATTGCCTTCGAAAATCCGATTTATAATTATAAAATTTCCGTAAAAAAAAAATAACTAGTATGTTTAAGGATTATTTTTGTACATTTGTACGCAGTCCNTTTTTTTTTACTGTAAGCATTGATTTTGTAAGCAGCTAGGTTATTACTTTTCTGGATTCTTTAGCTGGAATGTCTCTTTCAGGAATTGTCGAATTCATATAAGACATTTCTATTCTCCTCTCTTCTTGGTTGCTTTCTTTTTTCTAGATATTTATTTAGTTTTTGTTATGATCTCGCCTTTGAATTCTCATCTCTAACATGCTCTTGCCATATTTTTTTTTTCCTCATCGATTTTCTATGTTTTGTATGATTTGCCCGTTGTTTTTATCTTCTCTAAACAGAAGTTTCAATTCTAATTTTTTTTAATTAATTTTTTTTTATAAAACAATTCGGTGCACTTTTTTGATATTTTTATTGCATACGTGTCAATAGTTTTTAAATCTTTGTTAACGACTTTTACCCTTTTTTTCTAAAAATTAAAAATTCTTGCTTCTGGTTGGAAAGAAAGGAATTTATTTGAGTTTTTAAACAAATTTTAAGTGTTTTTTTTAAATTGAAATCCTTAATTAGTTTCTTAATTTTAACGTTATTTGCACTCGTTCTGTTTATTGTAATTAGCGACGTCGCATTATTATAGAGATACAATTTTCGGATTGCAGATCTACACATTCCCACTGCTGTCCCGTCCATCTGTCAGGCCGTTAATCGATTTCGAGAACAATTAGATAGATGAAAATCGAGATCAGATATAGAAAAGTTTAGGACCTCATGCTCCTAATCGTTTCATATTCCCTCATCTAATCTCGATTTTCATTTATCTAATATCGATTTCTCTATCTGGTCCCGATTTTCATCTATCAAATCTCCATTTCCATCCATTTAATCTCCATTTCCATCCATCTAATCTCCATTTCCATATCTGGTCTCGATTTCCATCCATCTAATCTCCATTTTCATCCATCCAATCTCCATTTCTATATCTGGTCTCGATTTTCACCCATTAAATCTCGATTTTTACCCATAAAATCTTCATTTCTATCCATCTAATCTCCATTTCCATATCTGGTCTCCATTTCCATATCTGGTCCCGATTTTCACCTATCAAATCTTCATTTCCATCCATCTAATCTCCATTTCCATCCATCTAATCTCCATTTCTATATCTGGTCTCGATTTTCACCCATTAAATCTCGATTTTTACCCATAAAATCTTCATTTCCATATCTGGTCTCCATTTCCATATCTGGTCCCGATTTTCACCTATCAAATCTTCATTTCCATCCATCTAATCTCCATTTCCATCCATCTAATCTCCATTTCTATATCTGGTCTCGATTTTCACCCATTAAATCTCGATTTTTACCCATAAAATCTTCATTTCTATCCATCTAATCTCCATTTCCATATCTGGTCTCCATTTCCATATCTGGTCCCGATTTTCACCTATCAAATCTTCATTTCCATCCATCTAATCTCCATTTCCATCCATCTAATCTCCATTTCTATATCTGGTCTCGATTTTCACCCATTAAATCTCGATTTTTACCCATAAA